CCCTGGGTGGGGGGGGGCGCGTGCGGGAGCGGCCGCTGGGGCCTTCGGTGGAGCTCCCTATGGGGCCACGAAGCGCTGCCCTGGGAGGGGGAACCGCATGCGAGAGCAGCCATTGGGGCCTTCGGTGGAGCTCCCTGTGGGGCCACGAAACGCTGCCCTGGGTGGGGAAACACATTGGGAACGCAGCCACTGGGGCCTTCGGTGGAGCTCCCTATGGGGCCACGAAGCGCTGCCCAGGGTGGGGGAAAGGCATGCGAGAGCAACCACTGGGGCCGTCGTTGGAGCTCCCTATAGGGCCACGAAACGCTGCCCTGGGTGGGGCGACCCCCCCCACTGGGGCCATCGGCGGGGCTCCCGATGGGGCCACGAAGCGTTGCCCTGGGTGTGGGAACCGCATGCGGACACCCCCATCGGGGCCATTGGGCCACGAAACGTTGCCCTGGGTGGGGGGACCGCATGCGAGAGCAGCCACTGGGGCCTTCGGTGGAGCGCCCTGTGGGGCAACGAAGCGTTGCCCTGGGTGGGGGAACCGCATGCGACCCCCCTACTGGGGCCATCGGCGGGGCTCCCTATGGAGCCACGAAGCGGTGTTCTGGGTGGGGGAACCGCATGCGACCCCCCCCCCCTCCCACAGGGGCCATCGGCGGAGCTCGTTATGGGTCCACGAAGCGCTGCCCTGGGCGGGGGAACCGCGTGCGAGAGCAGCCACTGGGGCCTTCGGTGTAGCTCCTTATATGGCCACGAAGCGCTGCCGTGGGCGGGGGAACCGCATGCGACCCCCCCCCCCTTGGGGCCATCGGCGGAGCTCCCTATGGGGCCACGAAGCGCTGCCCTGGGTGGGGCACCGCATGCGACCCCCCCCCACTGGGGCCATCGGCGGGGCTCCCTATGGGGCCACGAAGCGCTGCCCTGGGTGGGGGAACCGCATGCGAACACCCCCACTGGGGCATCGGTGCAGCTCCCTAAAAGGCAACGAACCGCTGCCCTGGGTGGGGGAACCGCCTGCGACCCCACCATTGGGGCCATCGGCGGAGCTCCCTATGGGGCCACGAAGCGCTGCCCTGGGTGGGGGCACCGCATGCGACCCCCCCACTGGGGCCATCGGCGGAGCTCCCTATGGGGCCACGAAGCGCTGCCCTGGGTGGGGCACCGCATGCGAGAGCAGCCACTGGGGCCTTCGGTGGGGCTCCTTCTAGGGCCACGAAACGCTGCCCTTGGTGGGGGAACCGCATGCGACCCTCCCCAGTGGGGCCATCCGTGGAGGTACCTATGGGGCTACGAAGCGTGTGAGATGTGTTCCGGGAGCAGAGCCAAGGAGGGGGAGGAGGGCGGAGGGAGGGGGCAGCGGGAGGAGGAGGAGCGAACGCGGGGCGCTGTCTCTTACAAACGAGGACCCAACACCACAGGATGGTTGGGAACTAATGGGAAATCAACGATTCCCCACATGTTTCGTGAGGTTCTGGTTTTCCCCCCTGCCGCGTCGCACCCGCGTCTCCCGCACACACCTCCCTCCCCCGCAAAACGTGGCAGACGTGACATACATACATACAAATACACAGGCACACCGACACACCGACACAGACACATACACACAGACAAACAGACACACACAAACACATACACAAACACACATACACACATACACGCCCTCACCCACGCGCAACACCTGCACGGCACGTACATGAGACACGCGTAACACATTTCACAACATAGCGCAGCGCAGCGTTTTCTCGACACCACACGCGTACACGGGGTGCGCACGGGGTGGTCCCTGAGGGCGGCTGCTATCCGTGACCCTCGTCCAGGGCACAGCAGGCGTGGCGTTTCCTCGACACCACAGGGGGTGCGCACGGGGTGGTCCCTGAACGCGGCCGCTATCCGTTACGGTCGTCCAGGGCACAGCAGGCGTGGCGTTTTCTCGACACCACAGGGGGTGTGCACGGGGTGGTCCCTGAGCGCGGCCGTTATCCGTGACGGTCGTCCAGGGCACAGCAGGCGTGGCGTTTTCTCGACACCACAGGGGGTGCGCACGGGGTGGTCCCTGAGCGCGGCCGCTATCCGTGACAGTCGTCCAGGCACAGCAGGCGTGGCGTTTTTTCTCGACAGGGGGTGCGCACGGGGTGGTCCCTGAGACGGTGCGCACGGGGTGCGTCCACTGAGCGCGGCCGCTATCCGTGACGTCGTCAGGGCCAGGCGTGGCGTTTTCTCGCACAGGGGTGCGCACGGGGTGGTCCCTGAGCGCGGCCGTGGCCGCTATCCGTGAGGTCGTCCAGGGCACAGCAGGCGTGGCGTTTCTCGACACCACAGGGGGTGCGCACAGGGTGGTCCCTGAGCGCGGCCGCTATCCGTGACGGTCGTCCAGGGCACAGCAGGCGTGGCGTTTTCTCGACACCACAGGGGGTGCGCACGGGGTGGTCCCTGAGCGCGGCCGCTCTCCGTGACGGTCGTCCAGGGCACAGCAGGCGTGGCGTTTCTCGACACCACAGGGGGTGCGCACGGGGTGGTCCCTGAGCGCGGCCGCTATCGTGACGGTCGTCCAGGGCACAGCAGGCGTGGCGTTTTCTCGACACCACAGGGGGTGCGCACGGGGTGGTCCCTGAGCGCGGCCGCTATCCGTGACGGTCGTCCAGGGCACAGCAGGCGTGGCGTTTTCTCGACCACAGGGGTGCGCACGGGGTGGTCCCTGAGCGCGGCCGCTATCCGTGACGGGTCCAGGGCACAGCAGGCGTGGCGTTTCTCGACACCACAGGGGGTGCGCACGGGGTGGTCCCTGAGCGCGGCCGCTATCCGTGACGGTCGTCCAGGGCACAGCAGGCGTGGCGTTTTCTCGACACCACAGAGGGTGCGCACGGGGTGGTCCCTGAGCGCGGCCGCTATCCGTGACGGTCGTCCAGGGCACAGCAGGCGTGGCGTTTTCTCGACACCACAGGGGGTGCGCACGGGGTGGTCCCCGAGCGCGGCCGCTATCCGTGACGGTTGTCCAGGGCACAGCAGCCGTGGCGTTTCCTCGACACCACAGGGGGTGCGCACGGGGTGGTCCCCGAGCGCGGCCGCTATCCGTGACAGTCTTCCAGGGCACAGCAGGCGTGGCGTTTTCTCGACACCACAGGGGGTGCGCACGGGGTGGTCCCTGAGCGCGGCCGCTCTCCCTGACGGTCGTCCAGGGCACAGCAGGCGTGGCGTTCTCTCGACACCACAGGGGGTGCGCACGGGGTGGTCCCTGAGCGCGGCCGCTATCCGTGACGGTCGTCCTTGCGGTATCGGCGGGGCAACGGCCACCAACATCATTCTCACATGCTTCACTTCAGCTATCATCACCCCAGCCATAATATAAGTATGTGGGGCTCCCCAGTAGCGTAAAGTTGGCCTTTTCGGCGCTTCCTGGGGGCCCTCTTGGGAGCCTCTTGGGCCGTCATGGGCCGTCTTGGGGCCATCTTCTGCCGTTTTCGTTGTCTCCTGGCCCGTCCGGCGCCGTCGGAAGCCGTTTGGTGCGCCCCTCTGGGCCGACTTGGGGCCCTTTTGGAATGCTCCAGGGCCGTCTTGGAGGCCATCTTGGGCGTCTTGAAAGCCTCCTGGGCCGTCTCGGGGGCCTCTTGGGGCCGTCTTGGGGGCCTCTTGGGCCGTTTTGGGGCCATCTTGGGGGCCTCTTGGGCGATCTTTGGGCGATCTTTGGGCGCTCTTCGACCGTCTCCCTCGCTTCTTGGGGGCCTCGGGGCCGAGGGCTCGAAATGTCCTTTCGGGTCCTCCATCTGGGCCCCTGGGCCCCCTCTAGGAGCAGTCTTTTGGGTTTCTTGGGCTGTCTTGGGCGCCTCTTGGGCCGTTTTGGAGCTCTCTTGGGCCGCTCTGGAGCCACCTTGGAAGCCTCTTGGGCCATCTGGTGGCGATCTCTAGGGCCGTCAGGAAGCGTCGGGAAGCCGAAAAGGCGAGAACGCCAGAATCCTTCAAAACTCAACGGAAAATCAATGATTTGGACCTCTTGGGGCCTTCTGGGGGGGCCTTCTTGGGAGGCCTTCTGGGGAGGCCTTCTTGGGAGGCCTCTTGGAGGCTTCTTGGGGCGTCTTGGAGGCCTCTTGGGCCGTCGGGGGGCCTCCTTGGGCGTCTTTGAGCGATCCTTCGGCAACTGTAGACGCTCTGGGACTGCCTGGGCGGCCTCCTGAGCTTTGATTTGTCCGTTTTGGGGCCCTTTTGGGCGGTGGGACAGCCCTGGAGGCCCATGCGACAAACCTCGGTGGCGCAAGCGTCAGCGCCTCGGATTTTCGTGGCCCTTAACAACCTTTGTTGCCGTCTTCGTATGTGTGTGTGTGTGTGTGTGTGTATGCATGTATGCATGTATGCATGTATGCATGTATGCATGTATGCATGTACGCATGCATGCATGTATGCATGTGCGCGTGCATGCATATCTGCATGTATGCATGCATGCATGCATGCATGGATGCATGGATGCATGCACGCATGTCTGTCTGTCTGTCTGTCTGTCTGTCTGTCTGTCTGTCTGTCTGTCTGTCTGTCTGTCTGTATGTATGTATGTATGTATGTATGTATGGACATATGTATGCAGATATGCATGCATCCATGCATGCATGCATATATGTATGTATGTACGTACGTATGTATGTATGCGTGCGTGTGTATGCTTGTATACAGGTATGCATGTGTGTATGTATGCACACACATGTGTATATGTGTGTATATGTAGCGAGAGAGAGAGAGAGAGAGAGAAACCATGTTTACTGTAAATGTTTATGTGTCCTGTTCCTCTTTCTCCCTCCCCCATCATCCTCCACTTTCGCTCCTTGCTCCTCCCTCCTTCCCCCGCCGTCCTTTGTTCTCCCTCCTGCCCCTCTCGTTGCGTGAAGGAGTGGGCAGGGTGCTCACGAGGAGAGGGGGGGATACTCATGGCGGGATGGCAAAACGGCTGCGAGCAGCGGGATATCACGGGGTTGGCCTCAGGGCAGACCTTCCTCTCCTCCCCCTGCTCGTGCTCCTCCGTTTCCAAGGTCAAGGACCTGGCTCGCAGCCTGGACCGCTTCTCTCGGCTGGGCACGGACCTCTCAAACGAGCGCACGCTGTTGGCCTGGACGCGCACCAGCCTGGCCGCCCTCCCCTCCGGGAGAAGAGGAATCCATTGACGATTGAAAGATGAGGGGAATACAACACGGGAGGATGACTAAAAGGCAGGCCGATTACCCAGGTGATCGATCTCCTGCGGAGGCTAAGTCAGCCAAGTTTCTCAAGCATTTCTGGCACGCCTTGTTTGTCAAATTGCGAAAGCCGCGGGTATAGCGCCTGAAAGGTCAGGTAGCTCAAGCTTTCACCCCACGTTTTCATGAACCGTCTATTGTTGCGTCATAGGAGGAGGAGGGGGAGGAGGAGGAGGAGGAGGAGGAGGAGGAGGAGGAGGAGGAAGAGGAGGAGGAGGAGGAGGAGGAGGAGGAGGATCACGATGATGATCCTCGCCAGGAACAGCAGCAGGAGGCGTGGGAAGGGGAGGTGGAGCGTTGACGGGGAGGACGAGGACTGGTATGTGTCATATCCGCGCGAACCCAGTAGGTTTGTCTCGTATGCAACGCGATCGCCTTCGCGATGGCTTCTGGTGTCTTCTGAAGGAGCTGTTTCACCAACAACCGACACATGTATTGTCGAGTGGGTGCGGCGACGTGCCGCTCTCGGTCAAGCGATGTACACCATTTGCAGCATACTCGATGCACGTTCAGCCGGTGCACTTGGACATGTTCAGCGCTTCCACAGCGCAGTCCAGAGCCAGGGGCTCCGATTATGCACCCGTTCAGGGCCTCTGGCGGGAGCAGTGATGCCTACATCGACGACGATCCCGCCTGCCTGAGGGAGGCATGCCGTTGGCGTGCCCCCCGCCACAATGCCTTGGATGTGGGGAAATAGCACACGTGGCCCTGTCTACTGAGAGCCCACAACGAGGAAGAGGAGGA